TTATTTAGTTATATAGAAGGTAAAATGTTGACAGTGACAATAGAATTCTTTAGAAAAAATAATTGTATTGGACATTGCACCAAGATGTTTGAGAGTATTGCTTGTACTGTTCTTAGAACACTTCTTACTAACGATGATCTTCTTCCTTATCACAGGGTAATATATGATTCTTTCTCACTCTACGCACGAGAAATAAATAAAATAAACTCGTTTACTAACAGTGTATTGAACAGAAATTGACTAGAACCAAAATTTGTTGGCGATATTGTCAAGAAAGAGCTTTTTTTTAAGGGACATACTAGAAGATCCCCCTTGTAACTTATGAACTATAAGACAAAATAGAAGACCTTGAGTCTTCTAATGTGTCGGAGGCTTTATTTTATCATTGATTATGTTGTATTTTCTATCTTTTTGTTTCTCCTGTTCAATCGGATAAACAAAGCGCAAAAAAGGAGAAGAAAAGTTAGTCAACAAAAAAAGAAACATCATTGACTAGTGTCTTAGGCATGTGACAATAATATTATTGCTTGAAAAATGAGTCTGTTATTATTATTGCTACCTATGAATCAGATATTTTTTTTTTGTTATCGCAATATTATGTGATGTAGAATGAAGAAAAAAAATGTATTCTTAGGAAGAAAATTTGAAGTATAGTGGTTTTATAAGCCACATCGTTCGTTTTAAATGAATCATTTTTGTTTATTGTAAATATTATCCTGTCTAATGTTGACTAAAAGTACATTATATAATGGATTATAAATGTGCATGCATACATTCAAAAGGACGTGATATTCACAAATGCTAATTAAGGATTATTCGAGATAAAATGATTAAAAGGACAGAACGCACAAGAAGAAAGCCATGAAAAAAAGCTATATATTTAGCTAAATTGTAATCGACAGAGCATAAATCGTTCGTAAACAATCCGAACATGCATGGAAAGTATATTTTATTTTTCTCTTGTTACACAGACAATATTTTCTACATTGGCTGGCTTTTCTTCTTGTAGTTATTCTTGACCGAAATTTTGATCTTTTACAAAGGTAACTTGATGATTCTATCAGTGTTTGTATATTAGAGTTGTTTAAAAATGTAAGTCAGAAAGAAAGATCTTTTTCGATAAAAATTGAAAAATAGAGAGAAGGATGTCCCCGGTAATTTACGACATTTGATCGATGGATAAATCTGTTTTTTATTGTTTTCTAAAAGAAAAATTCTTATGATTATTTTTTTTATTCTTATCGCTTGTTATCACATATAACACTAAGGTCTTATGGAATGAATCATAAATGTTTTTTTTGTGTGAGAGAAATACTGAAATATTAAAGAGAAAACAGAGATGTGTCAGTCTGAATCAAGATTCGAACTCGAAAATTGAATAACGTTGAGTCATTGATTTAAGAAAGCAAACATTTACAATTTAGCACTAAAATTATTTTTTTAGAGAATAAAGATATTTTTCTGCAGAAAGAAAACATAATCGGTGACTTTACTGTCAAATAAAAAAAAAAGCTTAATTTATCTCAATCTCTTAACAAGCTTATTAGAAGTATTATATATTTGCCTTCTACATCAGTATGACTAGAGTGTGCGCTTTTTCACAGTAGTCACTTAATAAGATCGTGCTGTTGACGATTTTCACAAGCTCATATTTCCTTTTTCAACATCTATTAAGTATAATTAGACATTAATTTAAATGTTAATAAATATTTTTTGTTGGTACACTGCTAGAACTAGTAAGTTACCGCTACTAGTTATCACGTAACGACATAACAGAAAATTGGTTGATTTGATATTTTCATCAGGAAATAGCTATTTGGTGAAAATTAGGATTTCTTATAAAGCTCGATGAAAAGTTTTTTGGGTCGAGGAATCAGAAAACCTTGAATCACAGTTTAAAGAGAATCAGGATTTCTTCTAAAAAGCTACTTTCTGAAGAAAGAATCAAATCCACGAACTTTCTGTGATTCCATTACCCGTAACAGGTAACCTTCCTCCACTATAAACATTTTAAAGCTCAAGTCTTTGTTTCTAAAGGTGATGTTTCTTTTTTACTGCTTTAAAACGGCATACAAGACGGGTTGATTTTATTGTTGGTAAATTCGTAGTAGCTGTATGAACAGGTAAATTCAGCGTCAAAACACCAAATAATATTCGACAGCGATGGAAAAGTACTTAAGCATTGGAAGGGCACCCAGATGCTAAAAAGATACTTCGCTGCTCATGGTTTTGAAAATTAAGATGGAAATGATGGTCATAGATAAGCGAGATTAATACTATTCAAACATAGTTTTCTTCGATCAAGAAAAAACTAACGTACGATGAAAAAGTAATGGCACACAATGTCAACCCTTATATTTCTTCATAGACACGGCTTTGAAAAGAAATTTTTCTACATTTCCATATGAAATGTTCTTCTCTTGCGAACTATATACGACTTATTTTTATTAGACACTCATAAACAAAACACCACGAGAAGAAATAGAGACACCTCAAAGATAGTTTTGCACTTTTTGTACATTTCACAATAACGACATAAAGTGTTGACTACTATATCTCTTCTTTAAACAGGTATTAGAACGATAATTTGTTTTTATCAGCTAATAGTGCTTTTTTTTTCTCGTTTATAATAGCAAATAATTTGTATCTGTCATGTGTTGTCATGAACGAAATGAAACGAAGGAAACAAGAACGTTCGTACAAGAAAGTTTTTATCTTTTTATTGATATATCGGAGAAATCTTTTAATTTAACTGAAATATGATGTCAAGATGATAGCAGATATATCAGCCACTGCCACCTATTACTACAAGAGAACAGAAATTTGATTTCTTATTAGAAAAAACATGAAGGACAAAAAGTCTTCGTTTAACAACAAAATTCAGTTTCCCACACTATATGTAATGAAGACTCATCGGAAAGCCATGACGTATAGCCTGTAATGTATTTTTACCAAGTTATTTGATCTCTTGTTTGATTATAGAGGCCAATAACTTTAAATTTTTAGTTTTTCAATTATTCGCATACACTTTTCTGTCAATAAAACCAAAACTGCTTCAATTAGTGTTCTAGTTGATATACAGGATTTCTTAGATAAATTAATGATAAGATCAAACACTTGTTGTACGGATATTTCTTTTTTTCCTTTGTGCCATTTCATTTATGAACGGATGACAAATACAAATTATATACTATTATAAACAAGAGGAAATTTTGCTTCAGCTTATAAAAATAAATTATCATTTTAACATATTTTTAAAAAAGAGAGCTGATAGTCGATATTATGTGGTGCTATCTTGAAGTGCAGAACTGTTTTTAGCGTGCCTCTATTTCTTTTCATGCTGTTCTGTTGATGAGTGTCTAACAAAAAATAAGTCATATATAGTTCAAAAGTGGAGACATTTTTGTATTGAATTGTAAAAAAATCTTTCCAGAACCATGTGTCTATGAAGAAATATATCGATCGGTATTGTGTGTCATTACTTTTTCATTATGAGTTATTTAGAGAAAATAACGAGTTTTTGTAAAAATTTATTAAGAGTTTGAAATGATCGGCAAATCTGCATCTATACATGGTTTTGTTGAAATTTCTGAATTCATTTTCGATCGGAAATGTGCAAGTTAGAGTGTTAGCTAGTATAGTTTTCTTAGTCGGAGTACATAGATGCGGAATAAGCTTATTCTAAATATCTCTGATTTTAATAACTCATCTACAGGCTCGTATTCGTTAAACCACACAAACTGTTAGTCAAATTTTAGAAAAAATCATTCTTGTCTCCAAGTAGTCTTCTCTACATCATAAAAACCTAATTGTAGTAGTATTACTTTTAATCGTAGTTCTGGTCTAAAATTTTACCTTATTTTTTAGTACTATGAGTAGCACTAATAAATTTCAGTAGCAAACTGTGCTGGCAGTTCCAGATCTGTACGTATTCTCTTGTGATAGTGTCATTTTATTTTATGTAGTATTACTCTAATTTTTTTCGTGCATTCAGACCAAGAACTAGATATTGTGTCATGAAAAACTTGTGTTTAATGTTCTTTGTATAAATAAACAGAAAATGAAAAAAAGGGTCAAAATAATATAGCTTGACTCGTCCAGCCCTGATGAAAAAAAATTCATAAGCGTAATCATAGTAGGTTTAGAGGATATCGCCTAGATGATCTATTGATCGAAAAGCAACAAAATTTATTCTACTGTACTGTGATAGTTAAGTGAACAAAAGATTGTTACATATTTTATGAAGAGATGTAAGCTGATCGGCTAACCAACTGCCACCACGACACAAAAGTAGGTGTTTGATTTTTAAAAATTTTCGACATCTCTAATCAGTTTTTGAAGATGTTACCGTATGATTTCTGGTCAATAAATTCTCTACCATTGTTTTCCCATTTTTGCATATAAAAGTTTCTCGTAATTAAGAAAATTTCAGCTGCTGCTGATCAATGCATCGCTTTACACCTCTGATTATATTCATATGACATTTTAAGAGCAAGACTTGATCGCCATTGAAGAATCTATTTTAGATGAATTCGTTCATTTATCATTTGCTCATTTTCGTTTCGGTCTCTATTAAATCTGGACACGGTTATCCATATGGTGCACCATCGTCTACATGCGCATCAATGGTTCCTCAGCACGAAGTTTCTTCTCAACCATGTTCATCCAACTATATAATTGAATCCGACAAAGTACAATATTCTACAAGTGACACTGTTCATAGTGAGTATAATTAAGAAAATTTTTCTTCATCAAGTAATGTTTTTTTCCAATCATAGTTACTGTTCGTGGTTCAACAAATTATGATACATTTAGAGGTATTCTATTAATAGCAAAAACAAAAACCAATCAAAAAATTATTGGAACTTGGTCAGCATTAGGTTCAGATATTCAAACACTTAACTGTGATAGAATAGACAATACTGGTATAACTCACAACTCAGCATCTGATAAATCGTCAATAGAAGCACTATGGCATCCACCATCAACTATAATCGAAAACTCTACTGTTATCAAGTAAATGACGTTTATTTATTTTCTGTTACAGGTATATCTAATCACTATTTAGAGCAACAATCGTCCAAACATATGACCAAATATACGTTAACTGTTTTAGTATTACATTAACTGCTAAATCTGTAAATTTTATTTTGATTGTTAATCAATAAAATTTTTTATTTAAATTTATTTAGACTGATACAATCACTACTGTAGCAAGTGTAAGTCTAATAATATGTATTTTTCATTTATTAAATTATTCAATCACCGTAACCCAATTTCTCATTAAAATATTTATAAAAATCAACATCTCAAAGTCTCTTGAACTTAATATTCTCTTGATTTGCCTTTAAATTACTAATAAATCATGTTTATCTTTTATATTTAATAGACAATTTCGTCAACTAGGACGGTCGTTAGTAGTCACACTAGTACTATTCCAAAAACTTCTCGTTCTACTATCACTCCAACAACTCATCGTTCTACTACTACCCCAACAACTCATCGTTCTACTACCATTCCAAAGCCTCATCATCTTACTACCACTCCGAAGCCTCATCATCTTACTACCACTCCGAAGCCTCATCATCTTACTACCACTCCGAAG